TATCGATTTGTATTCATTTTATTTGTAAATTCAGGAACTCAGAAGTTTATTCAAGAATACTTTCTTGAAAAACATATTCCACTTCAGAAGTTATTTTACGCTTTCGATTATAAATTGGTTAGTTATAAAATTACTAAACCTAAATAATAATGCCTTCTTTTTTTTTTTATTCTTATTATTTTTTGGTTTACTCATTTTATAATCTTTCTGATTTCAATGTCAATCTTATAATAGCCAAGGAGAATTAACGACCTTCCGGATATGCAATTACTTCCAGTTCTACATAAAATTGTTGCAAAATTCTTACGGCAACGGCAAAAACTGACAAATATTAATACATTAGAACAAGTTGTCGAATTATTACGAGATTCAAAAAATATCATGGTTTTGACAGGTGCAGGGGTGGGTTGTGATTTTATATTTTTTCTTTTATTACTAACTAGACATAATAAACTTTATATGAAATTAATGTGCATAGAACTTATCAGGTTTCCGTGTCATGTGGAATACCAGACTTTCGTTCCGAGAACGGCATTTATTCTCGGCTATCAGAATTTGATTTGGATGACCCACAAGATATGTTCGATATCAATTACTTTAGAGATTGTCCTGATGTTTTTTATTCGTTCGCCAAGGTATTATTAAGTTTGACAATTGATGAACCATTACGTCCACATTCGATCGCATTTGGCGATATAACCTTTTTTATTATTACAGGAAATATATCCCAGTAATTTCACACCATCTCCTTCACACTATTTCATTAAATTATTGGAAGAAAAAGGAAAACTTTTAAGAAATTACACCCAAAATATTGATACCCTGGAACAAGCTGCTGGAATTAAGAACGTTCTACAATGTCATGGTATCCGTATCTTAGATTACTTAGATTACTTTCTTTAATAATTATTAATACAATTTGAAATTAATTATCAATTTCACATTCTCTAGGTTCTTTTGCAACTGCTAGTTGTATAGTGTGTGAATATAAAGTCGATGGTAGTGAAATCAAAG